GTGCGCAGCTTTGGCATAGCAATATGCTTGAACCACCAACGCTACTTCTTGTGCATCCAAATAGCCCAAATGGGGCAGCAGCGTCTGAAAATAGACATCTGTTTGCGTATCATTAGGGAAAGACAGGGCTAAGTCAGGACTAGACATAAGCGCTAATAATAGCCTAAAGTCCCAATTTTGTATAGAACGAGCGCAAAAATCAGCGCCAGGCATGGGCGCTGGTCTAATTAAATACGCATAAAATTATCGGGAATAGAAAAAAAGTTTCAAAAATGCGCTAAATTTGCTGCTACAGTTCATTGGTCTTACAGACAGCTTAAACCACAAGAGGAGACGACGCATGAAAATTGGCGTACCAGCCGAAACTGCCCATGGCGAAACACGTGTGGCAGCAACTCCCGAAACAGTAAAAAAACTTATTGCCCAAGGCCATGAGGTGTTGGTACAAAGTGGGGCTGGTGTAAAAGCTAGTTGTCCTGACCATGCCTATGAAGCTGTGGGCGCAATCCTTTGCGACGCAAAGCAAGCCCTACAAGCTGAGCTCGTGTTAAAAGTACGCGGCCCCAATGAAGAAGAACGCTCCATGATGCAAGGCCAAAGCACTTTGGTGGGCATGCTAGATCCATTTGACAAGAAAGGCTTGGAAGAATTGGCCAAAATTGGTCTTACTGCTTATGCCTTGGAAGCAGCGCCGCGAACAACCCGCGCGCAGGCGTTGGATGTATTGTCCAGCCAGGCAAACGTGGCAGGATACAAAGCTGTCATGATAGCCGCTGATAATTACCAAAGGCTCTTTCCCATGATGATGACGGCAGCTGGCACTATTAAAGCAGCCAGGGTCGTAGTGCTGGGGGTGGGCGTAGCAGGTTTGCAGGCTATTGCAACTGCCAAGCGCCTGGGCGCGGTTATTGAAGCTTCAGATGTACGCCCCAGTGTGCAAGAGCAGGTACACAGTTTGGGGGCAAAGTTTATTGAAGTACCTTACGAAACGGATGAAGAGCGAGAGGCAGCCCAAGGAGTAGGTGGCTATGCCAAACCCATGCCACTTTCATGGCTAGAGCGTCAGAAGGAAGAAGTAGCCAAGCGCGTAGCTGCTGCCGATATAGTTATTAGTACGGCGCTGATACCTGGTCGCGCTGCGCCGCAGTTGATTACAGCAGAAATGGTTGCTAGCATGAAGCCAGGCTCGGTAATCGTAGATATTGCCGCTGGACGCGGCCCCAATGGGATAGATGGCAATTGCCCTTTGACGGAAGCTGGCAAAACGGTAGTAAAACACGGTGTAACTATAGTGGGACAAACCAACCTTCCTGCCTTGGTGGCTGCCGATGCATCGGCGCTATATGCTCGCAATGTAGTGGATTTTTTGAAGCTAATTATTTATTCGGACGGTGAAAACAAAGGCCAATTGCATGTCAATTTGCAAGACGATATTGTTGCTGCATGTTTAGTCACACGCGACTACCAAGTATGTAGGGCCTAGTCGAGATGCGCTTTAAAAGAAAAATTGACCATTAAATTTGGAGATTAGCTATGGATATTATTTCACCAGGTGTATATAACGTTATTATTTTCGTATTGGCTATTTATGTAGGCTATCAGGTGATTTGGAATGTAACACCGGCCTTGCACACACCACTGATGGCGCTTACCAATGCCATTAGTGCAATTGTGATAGTGGGTGGAATGCTAGCCACTGCATTGACGCAAATCCCTGCTGCTACAGTAATGGGCACTTTGGCAGTGGCTTTGGCTGCGGTCAATGTATTTGGCGGATTTTTGGTTACTAAGCGTATGCTGGAAATGTTCAAGAAAAAAGACAAATCTACCAAAAAAGACCAAAACAAACCCGCTGTAGGAGAAAGCGCATGAGCATGAATTTAATAGCTCTGCTGTATTTATTGGCGAGTGTGTGCTTTATTCAGGCACTCAAAGGGCTCTCACACCCCACCACGTCTATTCGTGGAAATATATTTGGCATGGTAGGAATGGCTATCGCTATTGTTACGACTTTTGTGCTTATTTTTAAAATGGCCGATGAGATGCACGTGACTTTGGGTGCAAGCCTTGGTTATGTTCTTGGAGCTCTGGCGATTGGAGGGGGGATAGGGGCCTATATGGCTCATAAAGTGGAAATGACCAAAATGCCAGAATTGGTGGCATTTATGCACAGCATGATAGGGTTATCAGCGGTATGCATAGCAGTGGCTGTAGCGATAGAGCCTTGGGCATTTGGTATTGCAGCGCATGCGCCGCTGTCTATTCCAGCAGGCAATAGGGTCGAGCTGGCACTGGGAGCTTTTATAGGCGCGGTTACTTTTAGTGGTTCAGTTATCGCCTTTGGCAAACTCTCTGGGAAATATAAATTTCGTTTGTTTCAGGGCACGCCCGTAACATTCAAAGGGCAGCATATATTAAACGCAATCTTAGGTTTAGCAGTGGCCTTTTTTGTATTTGGTTTTTGGCACAGTCAGAGCATGATGGACTTTTATATAGTTGTTGCGCTTGGCTTTCTTTTAGGTGTATTGCTTATTATTCCCATAGGCGGTGCTGATATGCCAGTTGTGGTGTCCATGCTCAATAGCTATTCTGGTTGGGCTGCTGCGGGCATAGGATTTTCGCTTAATAATTCCATGTTAATTATTGCTGGCTCTTTGGTTGGAAGTTCGGGTGCAATTTTGTCTTATATCATGTGCAAGGCCATGAACCGTAGTTTTTTCAACGTTATCTTGGGCGGTTTTGGTGGGGAAAGTGATGGAGCAGCTACTGGAGATGGACAAAAGCGCAATGTTAAAACGGGCAGTGCAGATGATGTGGCTTTTATTCTCTCCAATGCTGAGAGCGTGATTATTGTTCCTGGATACGGCTTAGCTGTTGCACGCGCCCAGCATGCCGTCAAAGAGCTGGCGCAATTGTTGCGGGAAAAAGGTGTGAACGTTA